TCACAGTCGGATCCCCGATCTCGGTGTTCGAGCCCCCGACATGCCGCCGGGACCGACCTCGGCACCTCTGAGTCCAACCTCACAATTGGGCCCCAACTTCGGTCAGAACCGACCTCAACATCTCGGCCCGACCTCATCGGAACCGACATCTCGACCTCCGACGTTGCCGTGCAACTCCACCTCCGTCGACCTCCAAACCAAGGGATGGATTCCCAATTAGCATCGACTCGGGTCAATCGACCGACTTCACAATGAGGCCGAGTTTCTCCGACCTCAAAATCGGGGCCCAATTCCGCTACCAGATCTCTACAATTTATCCAGCGACCGCCGAACAAAATTGAAGAATGATTTTGTCGCGATTCTGAGAAAACAGTGATTTGAAGGAGATTTGTGAAGGCCAAACGTGGACGACCCATTTAATGACCGTGTCCAATTTTTTACTCCATTTGTGCCTCACTTGAAAGTTGGCCCCAAAAAAAAAAAAAAAAAAAAAGAGCGGGGCCGGACCGAGATTATTTATTCAAACCAACAGAAGCCGGAGTCAGAATTTACTTATTCAAACCGACGAGAGTCGGGTCCAAGTTTATTTATTTACACTAACGAGAGCCGGGGCCGAGTTTATTTATTCATTCTGAAGTTAGCCGGGGCCGAGTTCATTCACACTTTACCGATTGATAATTCGCTCGTTTCTAAATTTATTTCTCAATGCTGGGGCCGAGTTCATTAATAATGTTGGGGCCGAGGACATTTATTCAAAACTGATAGTTGTCGAGCTTGGATTTATTTATTCATGCCAACATTAGTCGGGGCCAATCCATTCATCCTGAACTAAGGCTGATACCGAGACGTAAATTACATTTGAACCGCGTCGACCTAATTGACCTCATCATCGCTCGTAGACCCGAAAGCTCGATCATTCACACCGACAGCAATCGGGGCGAATTCATTTATCTACGCCGGAGCGGGAGACATTGATTTACGCTCAGAGCCACCTTGATTCGTTCATTCATGCCGATGCTGATCATCTCTTTATGACGTCTTCATATTTGCTCGCCGTTGAGCCTCGACTCCGACTGAGCCGACGTTCATATTTGCTCGCTGTTGGTCGCGGGAATCGGTGGCGACGGCAAGGCTGGCGAGGGCCGACGGGGATGACTGACAGAGGTTGAAACGGACGGCGCGGCTGCTCACTTGTAGAACGCCGGCGATAGAATCGACCACGACAGGGATACGTGAACGGAGGCGACTGCTCGAAGAGTACCAACTCGCCGAAAAAGAAGGTTCAGGCGGCGATTGATTTTTTTTTTAAAAACGAGAGGAACAGAGCTTGAATGGGAATAGCTTGAACGGATCTCAATCGGGTGTGATATATGCGAGCGAGGGTTATCGTGCGATTGTTGGAGGAAACATAGCAACAAAATTTTGAATCGCGATTGAAGGAGAAGACTCGTTTTGGGCCCAAGATATTTCACAAGGTAATGGGCTGAAAATAAACTCTACAATGGGCCTGGGAGCAATTCAATTCAACTCGACCAGAAATTTAATCATAAAGGCTAGAAATAAATCGCTTTGGCCGAAAATAAAATATATGCGATATCGAGAATTTCCCATCGATCCGATTGACGAAAAAAATAATAAATAATTTGACTTATTATATTAATTAGACTACATCTAATTAATTAATAATAAGTCAACCGACAATGTCGAGCAATAATCCAATATAGACAGTTAATTCAAACAATAATAATAATAATAATGCCAATAAATAATAATCAAAAATCTAATAAACAAACGGGACATTACAGTCGGCCCCACTGAATATCTGACCCTCTCCTTTGATGCAAAATCTCCAAGAATCGACCGATTTATCTTGCAACAACTCATGTTCTCCCTCCGAGAAATCATCAGACTGTACGTTTTCCCTGCCTTCATGACAAAATAATACAAAGATTTATAAATAATGGAACTAGTTAAAAAAATTAATGAACTAGGATATAATACGACTATACCATATTTCAATAATAAACTAATTAATATTATGAAAGCAACATTACCTGCTCATGTTCATCGGGAAGGATTGAACTTCATCATCCGGTTTTTCATTTCTTTCAATGGCAGTTATCTCTACAATATTTACTTTCCAACAAACATGTAACCAAATCATGGTCTTCACATCCTCATCATCCGACAAACTATCTCTCTTTTTTTTTTTTTTTCCTTTGGTGCAATATAGCATAGCACGACGGATTCAAAATTAACGTTTGGCCACCTCCTTGATATGAGAGTGTACACTTCGTCAAACGTTGATCCAATGTGCATAGAGAACACAAACAATTCATTCTTGTACGTACAACTCCCTAATATATCACTTTGCGCCCCTTCATGTATCTAATAATAATTAGATAAATAAAAAAAAAAACTCCACATTTCCCAGCAAATATGGTACCAAAACAGTGATTAAAGTGGTAATATATATATACAACTAGGGGTACAATAATCAAGAATAGTGGTACAGTGATCATTCCCACATTATTTCATTGTTCTAGGGTGAATAACACATAACATAACCTAACAATAACATCAATTTCGTATACATGAACAAGAAAAAAGAGATTATGATCAATTTATTTGATTCAGGGTCAATATGAACAACAATATTCCAAATTCAATCCTTAACAAATTAACCAAAATATATGAATTAAAGATGATTTTTAGACTCCACAATCCTCATATAATACATAGATTACTTACTACTTCAATTTTTGGCGGAAAAAGGACAAATGTTGCCGGAAAAATATCAATTTTTGCCGGAGAAAATTCACGTCCTTATCACTTCTTTCACCGGATTTTTTGCCGCCGAAGTTCTTCTTGTCGGATTTGATGTCGCCAGAGGACGAACCTGCAAAAAAAAAAAAAAAGAAAAAGAAAAAGAGTCGCCCCCGATTGGGAATGGAGGGAGTGTTTGGTGTGGGAAAGAAGATTGAACAAAAATGAATAAAATATTATTATGTGTCAGTGATGCTAAATATTATTATGTGTCAGTAATGCTAAGGAGTCAACTGTTGGCTCCGTTACGGAGCCAACTGTTGGCTCGGGTTGTTGGCTCCGTAACGGAGCCAACAGTTGACTCCTTAGCATTAGTGATTATGTGTAATAGTAGGTGTAAGAGAAAACTAATAAAATAATATGTTATGTTGGTTGTAGTGGGATGATGTAATAAGTTATTTAAATTTTGATTAGCATTAGTGATTATGTGTAATGGTAGGTGTAAGAGAAAACTAATAAAATAATATGTTATGTTGGTTGTAGTGAGATGATGTAATAAGTTATTTTATTTTTGATTTAATTTAACAATAGGGAATTGGAAGGAAGAAAATTAAGGGAATAAGGAATGTAGAGTATAAAAATAAAAGAGGAACTTAGTAGGGTTTAGAGATTTGTAAGGAAGTTTACTTATATAAAATAACCTAATCGATATTTGTTCAATTGGTCTCAAAACATAGTCGTAATTTGATTCGAACCAACCGTCGGAGCATAAAATCAGCCGACGAAGACCAGTGCAGTTTTCCATGGATGCGAACAAGAAAAGCACGCCGACGATCGACAGGCTCAGCTCCTTGCCAGACGACGTCATCTGCAAAATCCTATCCTTGCTCCCGACGATAACCTCTGTCTCGACCAGCGTCCTCGCGAGACGATGGAGGGATCTGTGGGCCCACGTCCCTGTCTTACACTTCGACGAAGGCCACTTCGTCTTATACTCTGTGGGCCGCGCGCAGAACATCTCGGAGGTAGTAATAAACAATGCGGTAAACGATGTTTTATCCGCTCACAAAAGCCCCACCATAGACACGTTTCGCATTTGCCTCACAGATATGTGCGGTTACGATGATTTTGAGGATTGGATGGTCACCGTCGTGGCCCGCAAGGTCCGCAATCTTGATGTTTTCCTAGAGACGAGTTTGCCCCAAACCATCTTCTCCTGCGAAACCCTAGTCGATTTGAGCCTCAGCTCGTGCTACATTCCGGACTTCGGTGACGTGTCCCTGCCAGCCCTTAGGAAGCTTAAACTCGAAATGGTCGGGTACGAATCATACAAGACCCTCCCGAACCTGCTTTCTGGGTGTCCAGTTCTCGAGGAGTTGGAAATGGAGATGCTGTTTGAAGAAGATCATTCTAATCATTGTGATATAGCGTCCCTCACTCTTAAGCGTCTCTCAATCAGTTGTACCAGCATCGAATGCAGTTATAATTTGGATGCCCAACCGTGCGAGTCAATGTTGGAAACGCCTGCCCTTAGGTTTCTCCAACTGTATCATGTTTCCCCTCCGGAGGTCACGGCCTGTGCACTGGCTTCATTGACCGAAGCAAAACTTGATTTTGATTTGGGGATACAAATGGGACCTTCTTCGAGGTCAATGTTGGAGTTTGTGGGTAAGCTTTGCGGTGTGCGGAGTCTGACATTGACAACTGGTTTTATGAATGTGAGTATGATGATTTTTCTGGGTATTTTTTTAGATGGAAATCCCATCCCATGTTGGTTATATATATGGCATTGAGTGCATTGTTTCTGTTTTTGGCAGATTACCGCCTCTGAATTATCTATTTTGAATGTTAAGTTTCCTAATTTGACCAAGCTTGCGTTGGAGAAGGCTCATGGGGGTTTTGTGTCGTTTTTTCTTGAAAATGCTGATAATCTTGAAGTCCTGGCCATCACATTGCTTGTAAGTTCCTTTTGGATTTCTTTTTTCTAGTCTTTGGTTAATGATTATTGAGGAGACTTTTTTTTTTGTGCTTCTTTATTTTTTATTTTTTGAAGTATCAGTTGGAAGAGGAGTACCTGAATTACTGGATGGAACCGAAACAAGTGCCGACATGCCTAATATCACATCTTAAGTATGTTGGAATCTATGAATTTGAAGGTGTAGAACCAGAGCTTAACATGATAAAATATTTGTTGAGGAACTCGAAAGTCTTGAAGGGTTTCAAAATACAGCCTCGAAACCAGCAGCCTCGTTTGATGGGAAAGTTTGAAGAGCTCAACAAGGTACTGCTTGAGCGAGACTCTGATGCGAGTCGGATTAAATTCCATTGAGATTGTTTGGAGATTCAGTTGGTTGTCGTGTGTTTTTCCCTGTTAGCTCGATTTACTATAATCTACCGCATTGCGGTTCTTTAAACCTTTTTATGCCGTAGATCATTGGTGTGGCTTAGCTGATTTTATAGTTTCCATTTGTGTTTCCTATGTTCAGTTTATTATGGATGACCTATTAAAATTTTTCAATATTTTTTTCTTCTCTGTGTTTCAACTAGAAAGACAATTTCCAATCCATCTTGAGCTTTCTAGCTGATTAGTAAAACTCCAGGACACTTGTTTCTAAACCTTGGAATATGTTTCTTGAAATGGAATGACCATTTATTTATCATATTGCATTTGCATTGTGATGGAGTAATTGGCCACGAGGCCCTAGATATCGCACTTTGAAATCAGTTTCAATCCTCGTTACATCTTCACCTGCAAAACCCTAGTCGACTTTGGGCTTCATAATTCTCTGATGACCTAATTTGCCTGCCATCTGTAGGCTTTGTCTTAACTTGGTTAAATACGAGTCGGATGAGTCCTTATCCCATGTGCTATCAGAATGTAAGTTTCTCGAATAGTTGACCTTTCGTTGTGAGTCACATTTATCCGATTGTCGTTATGTTACTTCGGCCAAAGTGCAAAGGCTCTTTCTTGAATCAGAAAGGGAGTGTTGTCTTATTGACCTCAGCAAGTTTCCTTACAAGGTGAGGATTCATGCCCCAATGTAATACACCGATTATGGAGTATTTGAGATAATTATGGAATATTGATTAATTATTGCTATCACTATTTGCCTTATATTATTTATTTGTTTGTTATTACTTGTCTAATTGCCTATTTGAATATTGTAATTGTTATTATTATTATTATTAAATATTTATATACAAATGTCTAATTTGCCTAATTTATTATATGTGATGATTGTATATTAGTAATAAATATTATTATGTGTATTATATATGTATTTAAATACTCGATTTTATTTTAATTATCGTGCGATGCCTCGAATATTTCGTTTAGTAGTCAAAACCGAGAAGAACACCCGGCCCAATTAGTGTATACTTCAACCATTGTGAGATTTTATTGGCCCAAAGTCTTGTCTTAATTTGAGGCCCAAATTATTATGTAAAGTTTTGGGCCATTAAAATCAAATTTGCAGCATAGACTTTCCCCACGTGCTAGTTGGAGCAGATATTTTCTATCTTCCCCACGCTGCGACCAGGTCCTCAACCGCTCGATTTGTAGTTGCGATTTTCTTGTGAGATTTTGCCCCACATCCATCTCCCCCTCCCGATTATATACCTGGTCAAGCAACAAATTTTCTCATCCTCATAATCGCTCATAAGTATATATTGATAACTCGAGCTTTGTCCTCCTTCACGGCAAGGACCTTCGTCCACCATTAATTCTGGTGACTCCAAGCTGCACAATAGCAACCGTTTTCCAACGATTTCGTCCTTTCTCTCAGTCGTTCACGGCCGTCGAGGTACAAGCAGGATCAGAACATCGCTTGTTGTGACCGCAGCGGACCCGTCGTGGAAAAGCAAGCAGAAGCTCTGTCCACCGTTGATTTCGGTGAGACCTTCACTTCCGGCTATCGTCGACGTTCGTCGTAAGGAACCTGACCGTTCGCGAGCAGGCTGTGTCCAGCCCTTGTGTCCAATATCTTTCGAGTTTCGAGCCCCTGTTCGTCCATTCGCCCCCGTTTCGTCCCGTCGGTTTTACAACCAAGCTCGTAGTTACCTGAAGAGAGATATTCGGCAAATTTCCCTTGTTCTATTTTCGTGCCGTATATCATCGTTTGTTCAATCGAGCTCGTGGAATCATTTTTCGTTGATTATTGTTTCGTATGTTTGTTATGTATATTTCGTATGTTTGTGAAATTTTCGGGGATGATTGGAACTCTCGATTTCATAAACGTGAATACCGTTGTGTTGTTGTGATATATGTGTATAAGTTCGAGGTCTCATTTTGTTATTTCGTGTCATAGTTAGGTTGTTCAGGTCGTTCGAGCCCTCGTCGTTCATTTTGTATATTTTGGCCGTTTAGTGTTTTTCTGAGTAAACCCGGTTTCAAAATATATTTTCAAAACTCGTGAAAAGTCGTTATGCTCGTAAATGTTCGAACCTCTCGTGAAATCGCAATTGAAAATTCAGTGGAACTTGTGTTGTAGCTGCTGTTAAAATTTTCAAAATGTTATGCTGCTACTGTTTGATATTAAGTCTTTGTATTGTGTTAAGTTTGTTAGTCATGTCCGCAGCTTTGGTTTTATTTTAAGTTTCCCTTTAAAATATTGACGCATCGAGTGGTGCAGTGGTGACCTATGCACATATTTGTGTGTGAGGTCGTGAGTTCGAACCCCAGCCTTGTGTTTAGCCTTTATTTTTTTGTACTAACCCCAGCCCAGCAGCGCGGGCTGTAAAGCCCGCATTCAGCCCACGATTGGCCCGATTACTCTCTCAGCTGCTGGCCCGCGCTGCCTTGTCTCCAGCCTGCGCCCTCACCAGCCTATCCAGGCCCCTTTGAGTGACCCAATTAGAATATGTTAGTCCCAAATGTCTTGGCATCTTGGCCCAGTTTTAACATAATAGCCCAATTCAACTTTTTACCAAACTTTTGTGTTCCGGAACCCGTTTTTCGTACCAGTTTCAATTATAAAAATTATTTTCAAATGAGAAAAATTTTGGGAAAAATTATTTAAGTCTCGAAACTCCATTTTTGTTCCCCGAGTCTTTTTTTTAAAATTTTGAGAGTTCCAAGTCCACGAAAAATCCGATTAAAATCCTTAAGTCTTAATTTTTATTAAGTATGGGTTTTATGATTAAATTCGAGTAGTGAGATAGATTATTAATAAATTATCTCGCTTAAATGTAGGTGTTTGAGGAGTCGAGCCTCATCTTACGTGCTTGCTTTTGTGTGCAATTTTCTACCGATTTACCAGGTGGGTTTTATTTGAAAATTTTCTATGCCTTAAATGTTATTACTGTTTTAATTGTGGTATGATCAAGGTATGCATGTGAATAATGTAGCCTTCGGTGTGAGCTGTACCGGCCACCGAACGGTTATCTCCCCTAGCTATAGAACGTACCCGTTGGGTAGTCTCTCGTGAGAGCCGTAAGACCAGGGCGTAGGTTCTGGCTGGTGATCCCCGATTGTAAGACCAATTCGTAGGTTTTGGCCGGCGGGGTGGTTTACTCCTACTGGCTAGGCATCGTTGTAAGACCAAGGCGTAGGTCTTGGTGTTCGAATCGAGTATCAACAGTAGTCTATGCGTAGGTGTGCACATGAGTCTGATTATTGTGATTATTGATGGGAGAATGTGATAGATTATTGCTTCGTATACATGCTGAGACCATACCTTTCGATTATTGATTATTGTTTATTATTGAGACTAACGTTTATTGCATAGTGGTGAGCACTACTGTTTCTTTTTGTGCTCATCCCCACCTGATCTTCATGGATGCAGGTTAGTTTATGCGGGCACGGCGGAGGGATGCGAGTGGTGGTCTGTTAAATTGATTAATGCTTCCGCCTGATAAACTAATTACTGTTATTATTGCTTTTGGATTTTTGGATTATTGATAGGGAGTGTACTCCCTAAGATACTATTCATTATTGGATTGCTTGGATGGTATAATGGATGATTGGGGTTTTAATATTGATTAATGAGTGATGAATTATTGAGTATTGAGAATTTGATAAGTACTGAATATTGATTTGAAAATGAGTAGCGCCTCAAATATTGTTTTTGAAATAAATTTGAAAAATTTATTCTGATTTTTGGCAAATAAAAGTGGGGCGTTACAGTTTGGTATCAGAGCCAGTCTGCGTTTCTGTAGACTGGTTTAAGTATAAAAAGTTGATTATGTGATTATGTGTTTCGAAATCATATTAAGACCACTCGCTCTCGTCGTGCCGCGTCAGCTCAGGTATGAGTACCTGAATGACTTTGAGATTACTGTATATTGGTTGATTATTGATTATTGAAATGAAATCGGTGTTAGGGCTAATCCACCTTTAAATGCGAACTCTAGTGTTGAACACTAGACTTCCTATATTATTGTGCTAATTTTGTTCGGCCTTTTCAATGTAGAGCTATGAATACCCGCAACAACCGCAACAGGCAACCGTTCCCGTCTTCGTCTCCACCCCCGTCTCCAACTCACCAGCAGGCTCCAAACAGAGTGGATCCGTCAGCTAGAGCAGAACTTTGACCTCCTGCAGTGCTCTGACGAGTAGAAGGTTATTTGTGGCCGTTATATGCTTAAGGGTAGTGCCGCCCTATGGTGGTCCAACTACTGGAGACTAAGGCAGGCCGAGCTGAACGTTCTGACTTGGGACCGCATGAAGAAAGTGGTCCTTGAGAAGTATTATCCTCAGGGCTATCGCATGAGGATGGAGCATGCTTTTTGGGACCTCACTCAGGGGAGCGACACAGTGGAGGACTACGAGCGGGAGTTCACCCGCATGAGCGCTTTCGCCCCGTACATGGTGGATACCGACTTCAAGAGGGCCAATAAGTTTCGTGATGGCCTTCATCATACCCTTCGCATGCACGTCTCTAGCCAGGGGAATCCTCCCTATGATGAGACAGTTATCCGCGCTATCCAGCTGGAGAGTTACCAGACTCTCAATGCTACCGCCCTTTCTGCTCAGCTAGTTCAACCCATCTCCTCCGCGCCGCCCGGCTCTAGTTCAGGTAAGAGGAAGGCCAATTCCCACCGGGACAACCAGGAGAGGAAGCGTGGGGGGAATGACTGTCGCGGTGAGCACCCCGTCGCTCAGGACCAGCTTCCGAAGTGCCGTAACTGTGGTCGTTATCATCTAGGAGAGTGCCGTTTCACCGAACGAGTCTGCTTCAACTGCATGAAGCCCGGTCACTTCTACAGCAACTGCACCGAGCCCCCGAGACAGTAGCCTTACCAGCAGCCCCTCCAGCTGCGGCAGCCCCAACATCAACAGCTTCCCCCGCCGCCGCCTCAGCAACAAATTCAGCAGCAACAACAGCAACAACAACAGGCCCAACCAAGGTTTGGTGAAGGAGGTCGAGCACGGGTATACACGATGGCCCAGTATGAAGCCGACCAGAACCAAGGCTGAGCAATCGATCGAATGTCGGAATTGAGATAATTATTTGTTCCTTCTTTTGTTAGAATTGCATTTCTCGTAATTTTGACAGACCTTGTTTATTTCCCTTTGTCTTGTTAGACAAGTTTGAATTTCATTTGAGACTCTTACTGGTTATTTTGAATTTCGCTTTGAGACTTCTATTGGTTATTCAATTTTCGTTATTTGGGAAATTTTTCTTGTCTTTTCTTTCCTCGCGTAGAATGAGATTTCAGATGGAGTTAAAGATCTTAAATTTCAGTTGAACTTTATCTGTTCTCGTAAATTTAGAGTTTTGTTTCATGACATTTTTAAGTCAATGCGAAGGGTTCAAGAGAGCGAATAATATTGCAACTCTTGACAGTACCTGGGCCTAGAGATAGGCGTAAATCAATCTCCCCCCCTCCCTTTTTGTGAATGAATTGAGCGTCATGCCGAAGGGTCGTATGTGGAAGTCTCCGCCTACCTGATTGAGAAGAGTTTCAACAAAATTCTATAAATGCTATGGATAAGGAGAAGTCTTTAAGGAGGGTAGCTGAGGAGGTATGAGGAAACATCATGAATAACCAGCTAATTGATACGTGATGAAGTACAAGTACCCTGACAGCGAAGTTGGAGTGCTTGGATTTTGTAGTTTGAATTGGGGTCGCAAAACACTAGGGAATTTTCGATCTTCGAGTACGTAAAAAAATGGGGAGATGTAACAACTGATGAGAAATAAATCGTAGCTACTGGATGCGGGCAGTGCAGGTGTACTGCGTGTTGGTGTCGCGCACAGGCGTGCCACGCTCGGTGATGCATATCGAGTTGTTCGAAGTGCCGTGTGTAGTGTGTCGCATGTAGCGTGCCACGTTGCCGCATGCCAGGCCAGGCATTCATGTCACAGCTGCCAAGTCTCTAACGTGTAAATACGTATCGATTCTGGAAATTTTCACATGTATTGCATTGAACTAAGTCTTCTTTGGAGGACTAAAGAAGTGAGGCAACTTTGGATGTTTTACCTGTAAGAGTCGATGTACTCAATTGCATTGTTATGACCACATGGAGTGAGGAGCTTTGTGGTAAGAAAAGAGGTTGCGGTCAATTGTGATCCTTGACCAAGTCGATGACTTAGCCTGATGATTGACTGCACCACTAGGAATTTCGAGGATGCATGACACGTTATATGTCCCGGGGTAGAGGAACGTGTGCGTGACCTCGAAGTTTGTGTGCTTTTGTGACGAGCTACGTGTTAGGCAGAACCCTACCTGTATATAGGTATTGATGACTTGTTGGGACCATGGGTCCATCAGAGAAAGGTCGGGATGTGTACTCGTCAAAGTCCAGTAATGGTAGTCGAGTCGAAGGCGAGATGACTTGGGAGAGAGAAACCGAGAATCGGAGGGAGTATAAAATCTCATGTTTTGATAATCCCTTTGCGTTTTAGTTCTTTCTAAATGTTTGTTTTTGAATTCCGAGGACGAAATTATTTGTAAGGTGGATAGACTGTAATACCCCGTTTGATTATGGA